GTCAAATTCTTCACAAACCAAATATAAATGTCTTAAACCATTCCCTTTAAAACATCAAACCAGTATTTTTTAAACCCTAAACAATCACTTAATGAAGTGAACCGGTCATTAAAGGAATGAACCGGCTATGAAACCGGTCATTCGGAGGCTAAACCGGCCATGAACGGTCTTTAAACCAATAAATCAGCCTTATTTTAAATTTCAAAATATTGATCCTGCTTGGAACTGGTTTAAAAGATACTGAATCGGCCTTTAGAGCGTTGAACCGGCCGGTTTAATGCATTTTTGCCTTGAACCAGCCTTAAAACTTAATTATTTTTGCTGAACCAAAACTTAAATAATTACATTAATTATTTATTTATTTTATTATGCAATGAACCAGAATTTAAACCAGTCAAAAACCAAGTGAACCGGCCTGATTTCTATTAAACCGGCCGGTTTTCTATATATTTTAATCAAAAAAAAAACCTTGAACCGAGGCTAAAATGGTAATTTCGTACTGAACCAAAAATTTCCTTGGCTAGATAATTAAATTAACTAATTTATTGCCCTTAAATCGGTGGAAAACCAGTTAATTTTAGGTGAACCGGCCTCTTCTTTAATTTCTTGTTAATATATTTATTATTATTATTGTTATTATTACTTTCCGGATTTATGGATTTCGGACCGCTCCAGTAATCACGCAGCCGGAACCCACGTACACAAACCCGAGTGCTTCGCAACCCGACGACTGTTTCGTTTTAAAAGTTGAACTTGAATTAGATTTTTTTACTTGGAATTCCTTCTCCTGCCTGAGTCGCCTTCAACCAATGATCCTTCTTTGGTTCGCCCCGTGTGTAGATTCGATCGGTGGAAGAAGAATTTGATGATTTGTCAGCCAGAGGTCCGGGTTTTGTTTGAGAGAAAGTCTTTGGTTGCAGGATGTACTTGGCAACTAATTGATTTCAATTTCCCATTCTTCAAGGGTCGTATGTCATTCCTATATAACAAATTGAACATTTTTTTTTCATCAATTATCACAGATTGATCGGATTGATCCGAAAAAAGGAAGATTTGGAAAAAAATCTGGATCCAAATCTGAAGTAATTTCTATTAGGTCCCTGAAGATTTTAATTTCTTTTGATTTACATCCTGATGTTCTGATTTAACTTGATTTGGTCCCTGCTGTTTCTGATTTGATTAGATTTAATCCTTATTTATTTTGATTTTTTCAATTTAGTCTTCAGTTTATTAATTTTCATAAATACCCCTAAGTAAGGGGTATTACATATTCTCGATCTAATAATACATTAGAAACAAATTAAAAATGGTACGAAAACAAATGAAAAAAATCAATTTTCTTTAATCAAATTTAACATAAAACTTTTAATCAATTTAATTAAAACCTATCAACATTAGAGAATTTAGTTAGATTACATATAATTTAAATATTTTAATTGATTATTTATAATCTAATTGTTTAGAAGTTTAACAATTTTATATATAATATAAATAATTTAATAAAGTTCTATGTATAATATATCAGTGGTATAGTGTAAATTTTTATTTTATTTTTTTAAATATATATTCATTATTTTACACTTAATTTTTTGTAAATATGTATTCATTATTTTGCATTTATATTTCTATTGATAGTTGAGATATAAGATTTAATAGTTTTTATTTTAAAAATTAAAATTTAATTCTCAAATATTTGTATTTATTTGGCAATGACAATTTTTTTAACTTAAAAGTTTTTGATGAAAAAAAATCTAATACTTAATTCAATTTTCTTTACATGTAATTTTTTTCATTAAATTTTCTTCTAGAATAACTTTTTAAATTTGTTAAGTGAAACTTTTTTCTTATTTACACTAAAGTGTGTATTTAAAAAGTTTTTATTTTAGTTAAGACTTCTCATATGCCAAATAATTTATGAAATTTAAATTAGATGATAAATTGATAAATAATTCATTGTATTATAATATAAATTTGATAATAAATGAAAAAAGCAAAGAATGACATCATTCCCTCGTAAATGTACAAAAATTAAAAAACTAGTTAAAAAAGTATAAGATATATATTAAAATTCTTTTTACATTTTAATTCATAATATTTACTTTTCTTTTTCATATAAGTATTTAACATTTTAATTTTTTTAATTTACTAAATTTAATCATTTTATATATAATATATATAATTTAATAAATTATTATATATAATATTTAGTTCAGTACAATTTTTAATTAATTTTAAATTTATAAAACTAAAATTATACTAAAATATACGATATAATAATATATAATATAGAACTTATAAATTTAAAAAAAAAAACACAACTTTTAGTATAATTCACATTGCACGATTTTAAAAATCATGAATAACCTAGAATATATCCATCCGCGGACAACATTATAAGCTACTCCAGCAGAAAATAAGCACGCGCCATCACGCACCAGTGGCAGCTTCGATATGTCATATATCAATTCTCTTTGTCAAAAAATACCATCACATAACGTTATGATGGATTAAGAGGACATATTTTACTTACACTGACATCTTTGAATATTAGGTTCTGTGCATTAATTATGGGATTGATACGTATTTGTTCAAAGTTACTATATATACACCACGCGAATCATGACGTGTCAATGAGAGTTGAAGTGAATTAAGACTTCATTCTAGATCGTGTAACTACTCCTCTTCTTGTTTTTTTTCCCACCACCATTAGATAAATTATATGGCAGATAGTATAGGCAAATTGGCCTAACAGTGATTGTTTCTATTGCCCACCTGCCCGGTTGATTCCCCTTTAGTCTCTGAAATCCATTCTTCAAATATGAATGAAGGAACACGCAAGTATCATCGCAATAGGCCTACAGGAAGTCAATAAGCTTACGGAATAGTGTATCTGAATCTATCAGGAACGAATTGTGAAAAAAATAAAATAAAAAAAATATTTAAAAAAAACTCATATTTTAGCAGTATTCCAGGTCGAGAAATTAACATATAAAATACCAGCAGCTGCAAATAATCATTTAGCTTCTGTTATAAAAGAAGCACAAATTAGCTTCACAAGCTCTAATGAGCATGTGCTTGAAGACATATTCCAAAACCAAGTTTCCCTGTTCACGCTTCAGAGCTCTGTTGTTCAACATTAAACTTCAGCATGCCATACATCTTATGATAAGAAGCAGCCACCAATCTAACATTTCAAACCAATACAAGCAAATCAATAAATAGACACACAGGCACACAAGCACATGCAAATATCACAAGGATAAAAACATAAAGAAGTTTACAGTCAAGAAGCACCATAACAAGTACAATATTTATATAAGAAGGCCCAAATGGGCAGCAATGATACAAACAAAAATAAAATGGCATTGTTTAATGCAGAATTTTAACAAATACTATACCTTCTATGCAACTCCTTTTCCATCATCAGTTATCAAAATCAATCTCATCATCCTTCATGTACTTCTCTTGTACTGCTGCTGTTGTGGAACTGTTTTGTTAAGTAAACAATCCGGGTGCTTAACTTGCATGTTAATACAAAATATCAATCAGCAGCCAAGCATCATTACTACATGAAAATTTTGTCCTAAATATTAATCAGAAAACCGAGCACCATTACCATATGAAAATATCCAATTCAATATAGTTATCAATCGGAATTAGAAACCCCAATTTGGAATTGTTGCCACATGCCAATTAATAAAGCTCTCAATTTAAATGTGTGTAACTTCCTCATATACCATGAGAACAACACAAGCCGGCATGAGAAACTATAATATAGTATGTAAAAGCTTTATACATTTTACCATAGCTAAGTGATTGCATGGGTAAATCAAATACATACTCATTATTGCTACTAAGTCAGAAATGCTATAAAAATTGTAATGAGACAAAATTCCTTTTTTTTTTCTTTTGGGGGGGGGGGGGGGGGGGGGGGGGGGGGCCGCAATAAACTTGCAAAATGCAAGTGATAATGGAATATGATGTGCGAATTATCAATATGTAGCAATATGAGGAATTTACAGTGGTAGCATTCCCAATTCAGAAAGCAGTATTACAAACCAACACGCACACCCCCCCCTCCGGAAGAAGGAAAAAAAAAATGAATAGAAAAGAAAAGAAGAGCTGAGCTTCAGGTAACTACATTATAATGTTCAGTTAGCTACTTCACAACTACCATCTCATACCATTTAGATATATTGCTAGACAGCTTAACTCAATCCCCTATTACAAATGCTTTTGCATCTGAAAATTTGGTTTATGTAAAAGGATTGAGCTAACTAACAAATGACAACTTACACTAAACTGGACATGAGAATTAGCAAATCCAGAAATGTGTATTAAGACTACTTATTTAAAGAGATGAAACAAAAAAGGATATCTATAATACTCCCAATCAATAGGAGCGGCAGCAAGTTTACTATATTCAACAACACTCCCTTCTATTCAGCAAAAATATACCCATTGCTCTTGTCTATGAGTTTCACAAGATTCCCAACACTCTCTTTGTCCTGAAATAGAATCAAATAACTAAAATTCAGCTAGCAACACAACTGGATATACCAGATATTTCAACAAAAGAAGAAAGGAAAAAATGAAAAATAAGAGCACATGCTACAGGCCTGAATATCCAAAGTAGAGAAGTTGACCAATCCATAATTTTCTATCACTTCACACAGCTCTTTTGTCAATTTCCTGCAAACAAGAAGCAGATTAATTCTTAATTCAAAATGTGATTTAGTCCCTGAACTTAGACCGTGTACACACAAGAATTTTAATCAACTATCCACCTGTACTTAGCAGAGCGGGGATCTTGGTCAAGATGATATTCCAAGTAAGACAAATCTTCAACATCAGTGTAGAATTCTAGATTAAAAGCTGCAATGGAGAAGGTTTATTTGATCAGTGAAATGAAATTTATTTGACCAAGAAAACCTAACATTCAACATCAGTTAGAACACTCAGTTATAATAAACATAGAAAAAGAGAGCAGAATGATATAATCAAATGCTGGACTTGCCTAGTTTTCCATAGCTCTCAATGAGATCAATTTTGGATAAAACATTGATGTGAGGAAGCTCCAGATGTAACATTGTTGATAGAGAGAGAAGTAATGCACTCACATACTTCCCAGGATCACTGCAAAGGTGTGCATCAACTAAGTGCACAGCAGTCAACTGCATGGAAGAAAGCCCATTATGTTCAAGAAGAATGGGGCTGAGGTACAAGGTTAAAATGACTATTGCACATGTACTAATAAATCTTATTAATAAACTTATATGAATACATACCCTGAGATCCAACTTCTTTACAGTTTGTTAATAACTTTCTTTGCATTTGAATGGAGGAAAAATAATTCCACTTGACCAGGGAAATCAAACAGAAGATAGTGGTCTGCATGATTATTAAGAGTTGAAAAAATTACAACCAAGTAATCCAAATAATCTAAAAAAATCACAAAATTACATCAGGTAGAGGAAAAAAACAAGTTCCCATGCAGTATAAAACATATTTAATCATGAATAAGAAAGGATTGTAAGAAGTATATTTATGCATTAGACAAAAAAGGGCCAATGATAAGAAGAAAGGGCCGTATATTTATGCATTACAGAAAAATTTTTGGATGCTATCAGTATTTTCACATAGAAGGACCAACTACAATTAACATAAGCCATGAATAACCACTAACCTTTGAGAAAAGGTTTCAATTTGGACTCCAACCAGTCAATGTTTTTCTCTAAGTAATCCATGCAATATACAAGACCTAGCGGAGCAGGCAGGAAAGCATCCTGTTATGAGTGAGGATTACTAACAAGTATAATAACTAAGTCATAATGTAGTAACCATGGTTCTATTTTATATTAGCTTGTTAGCAATTATACTAAATTGCCGGAATGCTGAAATACAGTATTCAAACATAAAGAGAACTCCACAATCAGGTGTCAATTGATTAAAAAAACTATAAATTTACAATAGAAAAGGAGCATAAGGCACTTACCTCCGTTAGGTCCAAGTGAATGCTCACTCATACATTGCAGAGTTTAATAAGATCCTCAATGTTAACAGCAACATTCATATCTACAATTGAGAGATTAGGAAAGTAGAACAGTCTGGCACACAAATTGCAAATCAACAAAAAAACTACAATGTTTTCCAGCAAGAAAAACAAAATTTGACCCAAAACCACAAAGGGAGATGCGTACGAAACCATAAATAGAGTGGTTACGGCAGTGAATCATTTGCAGGATCCAGATTAATTACAGCAACTTTCCTGCAATCAAGTACCACAGCTCTGTCAAAGGACATTATCTCACTCAAAGTTGTTTATGGCGCATAGCGCACCATAGCGCAAAAGGGCCATAGCGGCATAGCGCATAGCGTGGCTATTCGGTAAAATAGCGCAAGTATATAATAACAATATATAGCTAAAATATATCATAAAAAACAACATCCATAAACATTACAAATCTAACAAGTACTCAAATACAAACCATTCAACAATCATATCAATAAATGAAACATGAAATTGCATATCAAATATAGTCTAAAATATAAAATACTACATCAAAATGAAGTTCAAAACATAGAAATCTGATTGAACAAAATCTGGAACATCAAAGGAGTGTCTAAAACTCATCCTCATCCCCATCCTCGTCAAAAGCTATATCACCACCACCACAAACATCTCCTTCATCCAATCCCTCACAATCCTCCTCATCTTCACTCCCTGAACCAGCCTCCTCTTCATCATCAAGATCAATAGATGGAGAGGACGTTCCTACTGGTCTCCTTGTCCCTCTCGAGGTTGAGGTTGGAGTAGGAGTTTTGGTGGTAGATCGCCTAATAGGACGAGTAGACTCATCAGCTCCTGAAGCTCTAGCAACAGCACTCCATGTTAAACCGTCATCTCCATCAAATACATAATCATCTTCATCCTCCAATTCTTCATAAATTCTTCCAAGCAACCACTCATTGCTATCATCAATATCTTTCAATGAGATTGGATCAATTTGATCACGAATATTATATCTTCGCCTCAATGCCCTATTGTATTTGATGAATACTAAATCATTCAACTTTTGCTGTGCAAGCCTATTCCTCCTTTTAGTATGAAGCTGCAAAATCAATAAATAATTACTAACATATAGATTCATAAGATGGATAGTTAAATTAATAAGAGAAGAATAACTTTTAGTTTAAAGTTTATAATCACTTACATTTTCAAATACACTCCAATTTCTTTCACAACCAAATGCACTGCACGTGAGGCTAAGAACCTTTATAGCAAAAGCTTGCAAATTAGGAGCACTTGAACCATACAATGACCACCACTCAGCTGGTGCCTTTGTTGTTCTAGCACATACAGCCATGTCAACCCCAAAAAGATCTTCAGCATTCTTATATATGCTCAATTCATCTAAAATTTTATCTTGAATGTTAGTATCAGGAACCAATCTTTGAATGCATTGTATCAAACCATATTAACTTCCTTATCATTCTCAATGTTGGGATTTGTATAGAAGAATTCTGGATTCAAGTAATACCCCGCAGCATGCAATGGACGATGCAATTGCACTTCCCATCTTCTATCAATAATTTGAAAAGCTTCCTGATACTTTTCCTCATTTTCATTGAAGGTCTTAGCAATTGCTTCCTCGGCTCTATCCATAGCCTCATAAATGTATCCCATTGGAGGTTTCTTTTCACCGTCAACAAGTCTAAGCACCTTGATCAATGGACCAGCCAACTTAAGAGAATATATATAACATTTCTCCAAAAAGTCTCTCCAATCACAATTTGAGCCACTTTCTTGCCTTGTGGATCCTTTGCCACTTGCTTTTTGTCCAATCTTCAGAAGTGAACATTCTTTTTAAACAAGCTTTTTGTTGATAAATGCTAGAGAGTGTTATGAATGCCGTAGCAAACCTTGTTTTTGCAGGCCTTACTAGCTCTCTTTGCTTGGTGAAGCGTCTCATCATATTCAACACACCCGTATGGTTATAGATAAAGCCACTCAATGCCACTGCCTTTTTCATTGTCATGTTGAGATTTGGGATTTTCCAAATATCTTTCAACATCAAATCTAGACAATGAGCTGCACAGGGAGTCCAATACAAGTGTGGATAGGTTACCTCCAACAATTTTTCCTATACAAAGTATAACAACATAACATAAAGTATCTAAATTCTTATTATAAATAAGACTATAAATTAGAAAGTATTAAGGAAATGTGAAACTTTTACCAGCATACACATTGTTTGAAGCACTATCTGTCACAACTTGGACAACATTGGCTGGTCCAATCTTTTGTACAAACTTATCAAGCAATTCAAACATCTTTTGTCCACTCTTCACAAAATCAGATGCATCCAAGGACTCCATGAAAACAGTCCCCTTTGGGCTATTAACTAAGAAATTGATCAATGTCCTCTCCCTTCTATCTTTCCAACCATCTGCCATGATAGAACATCCAACTTTTGCCCATTGCTCCCTACATGTCTTCATCATGTCATTAGTACGATTTATTTCCTTTTGAAGAAGTGGAACCTCACCTCATGATATGAAGGCCCCTTCATGCCAGGCCCAAATTGTCCAATGGCCTCGATCATGACTTGAAAGCTGTCATAATTGACAGCATTAAAAGAAATTCCAGCATCATACATCCATCTAGCAACCGCTTGACATGCTTTGTCCCTTGCTTCCTTCTTGTAATGCTCATTCATAGTAGTTTGCTTTCCTTTCAATTTTTTTCTATTCTCCACCACTTCCTCAGGATCATGGCTAAAATAAGCATCCATTGGCCCTTTTTGTCTTGCTTCCTTGGCAAAGTTGCACTATTACTTCCTTGTGTAGAAGCTGTACTTGAAGCCCTCTTCTTCGTTGAATTATCAGTTCATGGTAATTGAGCAACATCATCTTCTGCCTCATCTTCAATTAAATCGTAATCCTCATAGTTATAATGAGGAGGCACTAACACTCTATGGGATTTAACTTCTTCCTTTTGCATCATATATTGCCGAATTTCCTCTTTAACAGTTTCAGGACATGATTGACATATCATGACGTTTCTATTCCCTCCAATAAAGTGATATTTGGTTCTAGTAATTCCACCTGCTGTAATCTTCCCACAAAAATTACACATAACCTTGTTTGCCTGCTTAGGACCAATTTTTTTGCAATATTTCCAAGCTGGATCAGCGGCACTACTCTTTGTAGTGCTTATTTTGATTCTAATACAAAGCAGTAACAGATCTGAAATAAGTTACTTTGTTCTGAAATGGAGATGCTGGAGCTGAAATTTTACATAACAGGAGTTGAAATTTTATACAACAGAAACTGCTGGAGCTCAACTGGCTGAAGCTGAAATTTTTATACAACAAAGCTAAACAGGAGCACCCCAACCCAGACTACTTGTCACGTGACATTCAAAGCAGAAATGTTACACTGCTGGATGAGAAGCTGCAAGATAGCAGAGGAGAGGAGGAAGTGAGAAGCTGGCAGATAGCAGAGGAGAGAACAGACTTGCCCTGCAATGCTTGCCAAGTAGAAGAATATCGGCTCAGAGGACCAGAACTAAGGCAGAGGAGAGAACCAGAATCTCGGCTCAGCCTGCTCAACAGAGACGAATCGTGAAGCTCGACCTGAACTAAGGCAGCAGTGGCTCAATCATGAGGCTCGGCCGAGCTCAACCGAGGCGGAGTGACTGAGAGCGCTAGACAGAGGCAGCCCGACTGAGAGAGAAGCCCGACTGAGAGAGAAGTCACCTAACGTGACTGAGACCAAGCTCGACTGAGAAGTCACAGGCTCGTGTAGCTGACAGAAGGTTCAGTCGGGAGCTCGACTGAAAGAACAGAGTCGATCGCGATGCAAGGAAGCAAGGACGAGGCTCGATTTCAACGGTTGAGGAAGAACTAGGGCTCGGTTTGTTCATCCAGCGAAGAAAGGAGCTTCGATCGTGGAGACGACTTGCACGAACCTGGTTTAACTTGATTTACTGTGTTTCACACCATAGCGACGCCATCAGCCTATAGCGGTCAGCCCTAATAGCGACCATAGCGAGCGCTATGCCTCGCTATGGCGACTGCGCTACGCTATGGCCATAGCGTAGCGCACGAAGCTATAGCGCTCGCTATGGCTCCATAGCGAGCGCTATAACGCGCTATCAATAACAGTGATCTCACTGACTACATATGCATGATTCTCTAACAAATATGATGTAGCACACTTTCAGATTAGGGTTCTTAGTGGTTTTAGGCTAATGAACAGTACCGCGGAACAGTACCAGTGCTGCAGGAACAGCAACAATGCTGTGGAAACAGTAACTTGCGAAGAAACTATGATAACAAAGAGAATGAATAAGAAAAAATTCTAAGAATCACTCCTAGAAACCTTTAGGAGTCACACCTAAAGTTGAATTGCATCACACAATCCCAAAATTCAAGAAACCCTAGAAAACATGAATCTCTATCAAAGCAATCAACAATCTTTTAAACATAACCCTAGCATAGTATTTATAAGAGAAATCCTGTGCTGCCCTAATAAGTAAAATGACCTAAATACCCTTGCTTAAGTAATTTAAATAGAAATTAAATAAAACCCTAACCAACACTACATAATGCAATTAATTAAACAAAAAACTCTAAAAACAAAATAAACAACTTAACTAAACACTAAAACAATTTTTAGGTGCAAGCTCCCAATTAAGATTTCCATCCTCCAGCTCATGCCAAATCAAAGCTTGAGCTTTGAAAGGGTTTGTTCCTCTCCTTTTATAAACCTTAATAGTTGCTGCCATTTATCTCTATCAAAATACCACTGCACAAATAACAGGACATCCTAGCTACAGAAATAAAAAACCCAAATGGACTGGTATGCTTAAAACATTGATGCCGACGAACCAACACCCAAGCTTATATGATACAGCAATGAAACTTGAAGATTATGATATCAGACAGAAATTCACTATCTACCTCATCCCACCTCCACGGATGTATGCATGTATACACATTGACAAAGGAAAAAGAGTAAAATCAGAAATTGGGGGCAGTACCTTCCAATAAGTTGAAGAAACTGAGACATACCGTTGCAGTAGGTAGTCTTCCCTGATCCTGGTGGACCAATTACGACTTGACCAAACACCATTCTTGTTAGCTCACACTGATCACTCCCTACTCAAACTGTGAAAGCAAATCGAAACACCAAAAATGAAAACTGGAAAAAACAGGTAAGGAGCGGTTTCATTTTTGAAATATTGACAGTAAGCAGCAGCTTGGTGAAAACTGAAACTTTAGGAGGTGCAAAAAGGAACTGCAGGAAATGAAAACATATATGTATGTATTAAAATATCATCTTTTACAATCTCACATTAAAGGATTGATTATATCTTTTACTCCTGTACTTTGTGCCTGTTTCACTTTAGCACTTTGTGCATTATATTTGAACAAGAATTAAGTACACTGCAACTGCCTCATCTGAACCTATTTGTACACTTCAGTCCCTCACAATTATATGTACACACAAAAACCAGGCCAGATTGGCAAAATCATAATTCAGTTTAGAATGTTCTCAGGCTCCACAGCCCTCCTAATTTCAGATCACTTTACAACATTTCAGTGAATTAATTTTACGTTCAATGAAAATTAATTACAATGAACTTAAGACTTTTTACAACAGCTATTTGGCACCAGGTTTTACCAAAACAAGCTCCTATTCTTATCTGTGTGTGTGTGTGTGTCTGAGTATGTATATATGTGTATATATACATATATATATATAGAGAGAGAGAGAGAGAGAGAGAATTTTAATCATTAGTCCTTTACAACACCTATTTCTACTTTGTTTTTTTTCCAACTGAATACCAGTCAAAGTCAGGAATTTATACAAGATCATTGCTCAATAGTAATCCATTTAGGTCAATGCATCTAGGCATGTGTCAATAGAAAGTTTTAACAATTCTCTAAATTATAATTCAATAATTTCACCTGTGTATGACATAAACCAGTAATTTTGACCTTATTTCTCAAAAATCACAACTCCATTTTAACTTATATTTGACTGCTTCCAGGCAATGATTCAATTAACAATGAAACCAGAATAGCAACTATTCGAAATGATTATAACCATTTTCAGGTATGTTTTCTCTCTACTCATTTTGCAACTTTTCATCATATAATAATACAAATCTTTTAATTTACACTCCTAAAGAAAATGTAATCCCATTCCTCCATGAAAATAAACCCAAGATACAATCCTTCCTAATCCTTATATATGCTCTCACAATTCCCAAGAAAACCCTTCTCGTGTTACCTAATAGGTACATGTTTGCACATTGTACTTTCTTTCTAATACCTAGCACCAATAAAGAGCACACAACGACATACCTTGACTCGCTCCCCCAAGACACAAATCCTAGTCCTATAGCTTCCAAGATATCCATAATCACCACATTGTGTAATAGTATTCATTCAAAAATATTTGACCTCCAAGAAAGCAACAAGACATGGGTTTGATTCACTCCACAAAAAAGCACTAAGCTCCACCATTTACCTTCTGGTTAATATTAGTAACAAACCAATTTATCAAAATTTGAACTGATTCTGTAACACAACAGACAATAAAATTTTTCACAAACTAGTTGTAATCTAAGTATTCATCAATCATTGTCAAGGACCATATCACCATTCTAACCGCAAAGCAAGAAAAATGATAGGAAGTCCACTTTTATTAGCTCTACTTTTCATTCTACTAATTCTAGAAGGTTAAGTACAAGTTGAACTCAGAGACCCTTCTTGGCCCTAGTGGAACTGATCTTTCCAATGAATTGTCAAACAATACAATTTCTGATGACCCACAGTCACCATCATCCTCTTAATAAGAAAATCAATCTCAAACATGAACCTGATGGCTTTGATACTAATTGTTAGGTGAAAAGCCTCCTAAACTGTCTATCTTAGTCTACTTAACAGCCCTACCATGGTTTATACCTCTACTTCGACCCCTTCCTCTTGCTTCATGAGAGGGTGTCCTATCAAATATTGCATCAAGAGCCTCACAGCCTTTGGCTCCACAAGCATGAGAACGAATCATAGATGGTGTCTCCATCTAGCAAAACAACTTAAAGGAACAAAACATGAACAGTGTCCATGATAATAGAGGAGTACAGAAGACTAACTAACAATAGACAAACAAGAATAACATCTTAACAGGCCTTTGGCAATGCCTTGATAAGAAAATGGCCAGTTTCATAATCATAATTGTGTCCCCACGAAAGAACACTTGCTCCAATAACCACCAGGAAACATAAAACTCTAAAACCAACATTGTCATGAACCAAGTTTGGGGAATGTGACCAGCGAAAGGGATGGACTAGCCAACCCTAGCAAGCCTAACATGACTAATTAAAGTTGATTAGATATAAAATTTTACAAAGATTTTGCCAAAGTTTCCCCATAAAATCAGACCTCCCTATCAACCTGCTTAACACATCTGATAACCACTAATCACAACAACTACACAATATAACGTAGGTATAACAATATCAATCAACTTCTTGACATAAGTATAGCATTCATTTCTGAAACAAATAATGCAAATAAGCAAATGCAAAAGCCATCTCAAAATTAACCATTTATCCAATACAGAACGGGAGAATCCAATCCAAAATCAATCGATAAACAGTAACTCCCCAAGGGGTAAACGGCAACAGTTCAAATTATGTTAGCCCAACATGACAATCTAGCACCATCCTTGCTAACTATCCCAAAAAACATTTTGTATTACTTTTCAAAATACAATACATGTCTCATTGTCTCATCAAACTTCTCAAATATAATTATCATCAGTATCATATTTTCAAAACATAATCATACTTTTATATTCATGGTTATCATCAAAACTCAAGTGCTCATAATATATGTTGAAAGGAAAACTTTTAAAAATGCTTGTCCCAAGATTTAACCAGATTTTAGCACATCAGGATGTTTCCAAAATAATTTTTCAAAGTTTTACATTTAAAATTACATTATGTTCACTTTTTAAAAAGATTTTCACAAATTCAGGTAGCAAGGTAAGAAAATATTTAGGACATGAAGGATAAGTCTAGAAAACTTAATAATAAGCCATAAGCACATATTATCACTAAAAGTACAAGCGAAACAGAATGGTCTAAGTTCGGGATATCGTGAAGCCAACTGTAACAATGGAAAGAGCTCCCAAAAAACCTAAAACCACGATCAGGGCATCATTACCCAAACTCATTTCTTAGCATCTTAAGCCTCCCAAATATTGCTCTAATCAAGAAATCCTCAAATCAATCCCTAAATTCTAACCATAACATCATTAAATCCAATTACTCAATGAACCCTAAATCGAAACCACTGAACAACAAATGTGCAGAAAAGAGAGAAGCAGTAACAGAGAAGAAACATCACAACAACCACAGAAGCAGAGCAGATTGCAATATCAGCACAAGGAAGCAAAACAGAAGCAGTATCAGCAGCAGAGAATTAGGGCCATAGCCATAGCAACAACAGAGAAACAGCAACGCAAAGAGGGAAAACAGACAGTTGCGTTAGACGGAAAAGAAAGGAGTAAAAACACGCAGAAACATACGCAAGGAAGCAACGCAGTAAGGGTAAGCAGGGAAGAAATGCAGAGAAGAAAAACATAGCAGCAACAACGCAGAAAAGTAACAGGAAGAAGGGAGACTTACCAGCGTGGCCGGAGGAAGTGAATAAGAGAGCCGAGGGCTGTTAGTGTCGGCAGTCGCACGATTCGCACGGTGACGACTCAATAGCGTCTAAAATAAAACGGAAAACGAATTACCAAGACTAGGGATAAGATGATCAATACAAGGTGAATCTATCTCAGACAAACACCATCAGAGAAAATCACGACAATGGAGAGGGACAAAGAATTTCCTACCTTTTAGATGAGACGAGAAAGACTGGGAGACAACGGAGTCGGAGAACCGAGTGAGTCGCGGGCAGAGGTGAGACGCCAGCACCGGTGATCAAAGAAGACGGCTCCTGCGCCGACGACGGAAGAGGATGGTGTCTGCGCTGGCGAGAGAAGTTGAAGAAATCATTTCACAGGGCGAAAGTGAGTACACCAGGTGCAAGATGACAGAGGAGTCAAACTGCACTCTGGAAATCTGGGCGGCGTCTCTCCCAGCAGATTTAAGCAAGCACATTCGAATTATGTCTTCGAAAAACAAAATATTATTCTTTTGTTCTTGACAGCCCGTTGTTTTGTATATTATCTCGAAGATAAGAATTTTAAAAAGATTAAAAATTATAGGTTAATATTAAAAAATAAATAAATAAATAATATTTTTTATATTTATTTAAATAGTACTTAATTTTATTTTTATTATAAAATATATTTTTTAATTAATTATTGACTAATAATTTGTTAAAAAAATAGTTACAAATAACTCAATTTCAAATACTTTTATTATCTATTTAATTAAAAATTAAAATACTATTTAATTCACATATTTTTGAAATTTTAATTTTTATTATTTAAAAATTTTTAAATAATTTTTATTTTATTATTTTTTTTGTTTTATTTAAAATGCTAAAATAAGAATAAATTAAGTGTTATTTACTTTAAAAAAAGATTGAATATAAAATAAATTTTAAAAAGTTAATAAAATTAAAATTAAAAAATTAATTTAAAATTTTTATCTAAAACAAATAATATGTTAATTTTTAATTAGATAAATAATCTCAGTAGGTGAAATTAGGTTACGTCATCTCTTTTTTACTAAAATTATTAACCAACTGTTAATCAACTGTTAGTTAAAAAGGAAAAATATTTTTTCATCATAAAATAGGATTGAGTATCCTTTAAATAAACTAAGAGGAATGAGAGTATTTTTTACCTTATAAAAAAATAAATTAAGAAATTAATATAGCGATTGAAGAGAAAAATTAAAAGACAAATACTTAAAGTAAAAATGAATTAAAAAATCAGGGGGTTAAAGTGAAAAGTTGTCACAATCCTATCCTAGACTTAACTGGCACTAGGGTCCACTGACTCTAGTAAGTATCACAATACCAAATCATAGCAAAGTACTCATCCTATTAGATAAATAATCATAGATCACCCTACGGTATCCAATCTCCACAATACAGGATTCT